ACATAAAACCATAGAACTCAAAGGGGGTGTACTTTCTTTTTCACTGTAGTTCCGACTGTAGTTACATAGTAATATGTGGAGATAATCACATTATGAAAATGTCCAAGCTGGAAAAATTTCTCTTGCACAAAAAAGTTGCAACTTAGTGATATAAAATGCAGGATGCTTAATCAACTTAAAGTAAGAAACATTGCCTGCAAATTTAACAGCCTTCTTAATTAATGAATAAAACTTAAAACTCCCTCATACTCCCTGCTGTTACTTGTCTGATATTTTGTATACTTAATCCCTTTTTAAAGAATTTCACTTTCTTCCATTTTCATCTAATTTTGTTCAGGAAAAAAATTGAGTAGCTTATTGATATCTAGCGATACAGGGATTTGAATTCCAAAATAATTGGATTGAAATCCTGAGTCAAATCAGGGAATGTCCTGACTATTTTTGAAGCAAAAGGGCTGATTATTGAATTATGGAGTTACTTTTCAAACCAAACTTGTATGCACACCTAATATTTAGTTTAAAATCCAGTATATTATTTTCAGAGTCCTTCTTCAAAGATATGCGTAAAGATTGGTGTTCTGAAGTAATATGATTTACTGTATTTATTTTACTAAAACTGAATGGCAGACAATAATAATGTTGTTGTTCTCTGGCAGACCTTAACAATAATATATACTTCTTAACAGGAGTTACAAAGGTGGATTATGGAGACATTTCTTCACGACTTGGACTAAGACACAAGCTACAGTGCAAGCCTTTTTCCTGGTATTTAGAGAATGTTTATCCTGATTCCCAAATACCACGACATTATTTCTCTTTGGGAGAGGTAACAACTTTATGTACAATACCATACAGTATGTAGTAAAATAAATATGTCATAACTAAACACCTGTGCTTTTTCATATGGAAACCTATAAAGTCTGGTGCAGTGGGATTAAAGCAGATTTTTTTCCCCTGGTGTGAAAGTCTATCTGTAATAGAGGAATTTAGGACTGTATAACCATTTTTATATTAGCTTTGAAGTAAGCTTTCAAAGGAAGTTACTTTCTAGTCATTAAGGATGCCAGAGTTTACATCATGCCACTGATAGATATTTTGCCATAGCAAACCATTTTTAAATATAAATAATTACGGATTATAAACAAAAAGAGAAAACCTTAGGTTTTCTAACTTCATTTTGTTTAATTTGGTTTAAAATATGTGTATAATATTCCAAATATGTTTTAACATACAATATAAAACATATATAACACTAATAAAAATAGATACAAAGCATTAAAAAGCCTAACTAAATACAAATTAAAAAAAACCCAAAACAATATTTTTATTTATTTTTTAAAAAACATTAAAAAGCCTGAGCAATAGTAAGTAAAATCATACTTTGCTGACTTCCAAATGTCTTGCAGAATCAAAAGATTTTGCTGATTTTTCAGAAAGCTAGCCTTTGAAAAAACTGTTGCAAAAGACTCCTAACAGAATCTAAGCTTCTGGAAAGTTTGCAGCATACCCAGATTTTTAAAGAAAAGAAATATAGGGACTACGTATCCCAGGCTACGTGAACTTTAAGATCAAAACTGATAGCAGAAAACAACCACATTTTAAGTCTTAGCAACGTCAGAACTCTTGGGATCATATACAGTGGTACCTCAGTTCATGAACTTAATTCGTTCCACGACTCTGGTCGCGAACGAATTGGTTGTGAACTGAATCAAATTTTCCCATAAGGTTCAATGTAAATACGGTTAATCTGTTCTGACCC